TTTTTTGGAGAGAGTACGTCGACTGCTAGGCCATGATGTTTATCTGGGACCTAGTTGTAATATTGTTTCAGTTTTAAAGCTTTCTATGGTCGAGGTAGTGGTTCTCCACTTAGGTGTTTAAGGTAGTAGGCCCCATTTCCCATTGTCCCGCAGACACGATAAGGGCCTTCCCAGTTGGCAGTCAGCTTTCCCTCACGGGAATCTTTCTAATTTTTCTGTACGGCTTGGCTTTTGACCTAGAATTCATGTTTAATGACTTTGGCATCATGACGCAGAGTTATCTACTTATTTAGTGTGGCCTCGTAGAGAGACGCCCCTGATCAGATCTGTTCGACTAGGTCGGGCTCTTCCCTTAGGACCTCGTTGTTTAGTTCCTCATCGATAGGGACTTCAGTTTATCTAGACGACTCCATGATTTCTAAGGGGATAACTGCTTCGGTGCCATAGGTTAGTCGAAATGGTATTTCCCCGGTCGTCGACTATGGTGTCGTCCTGTAAGCCAATAGCACGCTGTGCAGCTCTACTAACCATCTCTTTTTGGCTTTACCCAGCCTGCACTTGAGTCTCTATAAGATGACTCTATTCGGGACCTCAACATGCCTGTTCATTTTAGGATGTTCAATAGACGTGAAATGTTGTTTTGTGCCGAGCTTGGAAATGAACTCTTGGAAGCTCTGGCCAGTGAAATGTGTCCCGCTACCGGTGACAAGTGCTTGTGGTATGCTGAACCGGGAAAGCACGTTTCATTTGTAAAAACGAAGAATATTGTGTGATGTGATTCTGGCGAGGGATTCGGCCTCTATCCACTTTATGAAATAGTTGACGGCCACAATCAAGAATTTATTTTGATACGATCCTTGCATGAATGGTCTGAGGATGTCCATCCCTCATCAGGAAAATGGCCACGGGGATAATAATGTTTTGAGCTCGTGTAGGGGCGTTAGGTGCATGTCAGTGTGTCTTTGACATTTGTCGCATTTTTGACGTGCTCCTTCATGTCCTGCTGCATGGTAGGCTAATAATACCCTGCTCATAACGTCTTTCGTGCTAGCGATCTTCCGCCCAAGTGTTGGGTGTTGATTCCCTCGTGGATTTCCTATAAGATCTCGGGGACTTTGGATTCCTTGACGCATTTCAAGAGTGGGATGGAGAATCCCTATCGATAGAGCTTTTGCTTGACTATTAAGTAGGAGCAAGCTCGTCGTTTGATCGTATTGGCCTCTTTTTGGTCAGTAGGTAACTCTCCCTTCGTGATATAGTTAAATATCGGGGTCATCCAACACGTACTATCCCCGATGGCGTTCTCCTCGGGCGACATGGTGGATCTCTCAATGCTCAGACGGGAAAGGGGCTCTTGAATGACGTATTTGTTCCCACCTTTTTTCTTTGTGCTCGCTACATTTGAAAATATGTCCGCTTGAGTGTTTTGTTTGCGGGTACATGTTTTATTTCTGCCCGATTGAAATTATTCATCCTTTCTTTGACTAGGTTTAGGTATTCGATGAGGCTATCGTTCTTGGCCTGATATTCTCCTCGTACTTGAGACACGACGAGCTGGGAGTCCGTGAATATTTTTACTTCTCGAGCACCTAGGTCTTCGGCTAACCTTAATCCTGCGAGCAAGGCCTCGTACTCGTCCTGATTGTTCTATGTGGGAAATGATAGTGTGAGTAAATGTTCGATCACAACGCCCTCCTCATTTTTGAGGAGGATTCATGGTCCACTTTTGCTTCTCGCTCGTAGGGGGTTTGTGGGTGGTCATCTCTGCAGCGAAGTCGGCCAACATTTGGGCTTTAAGGGGTTTCCTTCTTTCATACTGAACATCGAACTCCAAAAGTTCAAGGGACCATTTCAACATTCGACTGGCCATGTCTGGTCAACCTAGAAGTTGTCTTACAGGTTGATTCGTTCGTACGACGACCATGTGGTCCAGGAAGTAATATTTGAGTCTCCTCGCTGAATTGATGAGTGTTAAGGCTACCTTTTCAATTTATTGATATCTGACCTTGGGGCCTTGCAATGCTTTGCTAGTAACATACAGTGGTTTTTTCCTGTCTGGTGTCTTGTGGACGAGGGTCGTACTTATGGCCTTAGTGGAGACGGTCAAATAAAGGAACAAAGTTTCCCCATTCTCTGGCCGTGATAACACAGGTGGTTGTGAAAGGGCTCTCTTGAGGTGGAGGAGGGATTTCTCACACTTCCCAGTCCACTTTAATGTCGCCTCTTTACGTAAGAGTTTGAAAAATGGGAGTGTGTGTTGCACAGACTTTGTTACGAAGCGGGAGAGCAAGGTGAGCATGCCATTCAAGACTTTTATGGATTTTTTCGAGTTTAGCATGGGGAGCTCGAAGAACGCCATGCATTTGTCGGGGTTGGCTTCAAATCCCCATTCGGTTAGATAGAAACCGAGGAATTTCCCACCTTACGAATTAGGGTTATCTGTTATTTCCTCATCCTTAGGATAAAAATTAATGGTGGCGACTTTTTTTTTTCCCGCTTACGACAACGAGAGACTTATGAAAGCTGATATGAAATTTCATATCAAAAAGCAGCTGAGAAATATTTCCTATCCAGAACCACGAATTTGAAACCACCCTTGGAACCAGTTAAAATAAAGGGTGCCCCTAAAAAGTTTAAACGGACCGAGAGTGACAATTCTACAAAATGGTCTCCTTCTTTCTTTGAACATGTTGACTCACGTTTTCCGGATTCTCCACCTCTTATCTCTAAAATTTGTTTTCAAGGATGCCCGTATTAGCAAACCATCTCCCTCCCCACCGTTACCAAAAATCATCCAAATTATATTAGAGAGATGTCACTTTTTATGCACAAATACAATGAGGGGATTACAAATGTTAAAGGTGATAACATTTTCAATTTTCGAGATGTTTTGGGTTTTCTCGGTAAAGGAGGGGAGAACCATACATTTTCCGCCAACAAACTCTCCAAGATTTAAAGGTGCATAGGGAATCATACACATCCTTATACGGGAAAAAGAACATTATAATGCAATTCATGATGCTCTTTTTCTTTGGGTTAGTGGTCTGACATCGATGGAAAACTGGATGTGCTTCCTTGAAAAGAGCCATCTTATAGCAAGTGCTTATAATAGGGTGTGTATTGATATGACAAAATATGGTTTCTGTGAAACATTTTTCCCACTTCGGAGTAGGCTACCTCAAAATCCATCAGGGAGCATCATATTTATTAGGTGGATGTCAAAATCATAACATTTTGTTCAAGTTTATTTGAAACCTGCGTGTCCTATGCCAAGGACATCACCGGAGTGGACGATGCATTTCACAAGGCTAAAACTTGATTAGATCACATTTTAGAAAAAATAGGAGATTTCACCAAGTTGAACGAGATTGAAAGAGAATTAAATAAGGAAAAGTCAAATGCAAAATCACCCATAGAAATAGTTTTAGGTGATGAAACATGTTTTGATGCTTTTTAATTTTTATCTAACTATGTATTTAGATGGTGACACGTTTTTTGTATGTATTTTTTATACCAATGTAATCTAGCTGTAATTTGATACATATGTAATGTATATTCAACATTAATTATATAACAATTGTGGTCAATTTTAAGAAAACTTTATGTTTCTACCTATTAAAAACTTTGTTACCGCATAAAATAGGTTTTCTATGAACAATTGGTCGTAGGACGTATTCGAAAATGAACTTCCGAGTTAGCCCCATTTTAACTGCAAAAACTATCAAACAAAGAGTATTTCAGAGGTGCACCTATGTAACCTTTACTTTGGAAAAAAAATAGGGTGAGTTCGAAATTACATATTCATAATAGCATATGAGATATGATATAGTTTCTAAGATCTATAATAATATAAGCTTGTATGAATATGGGGTCTCTCATCTCATGTTGTTCACAAAAACACACCACACCAAAATGAGCTTATAATGTCATGTTGCATTTGTTTACTTCACCGACGCGAAGACCTCACTTAAATTTAGTGTCACAGAGTACACATCTCTTACAGATCTGAAATCCATATTGGAGAATCTCCTAAAATTCTTAGATAATCAAAGATTTATGAAGCTCGAATACCGTTCATCCTCGATTGACAACGAAAGGAAGATTTAGTTCAGCAAGTTTGAATTGAAGACGGATGAAGATTTAAGAATTGTGTGGAGTATATTTCACCGTTACGAAACAAATGGTCTGATTGAAGTGGATGTGACAATTGCAAGATTGACCGAAGATATTCTAGTGATGTTGCAACGTCCTGATGAAATATAATGTTAAATTTATATTAATGATTATCTATGTAATATTACGTATTTTGATGTTAATTTATACTTTTCTTCAATTTTTTGCATTTGTTACTGGTTTTTGGTTTAAGCCAACAGAGTGTATTCTGAAGACGCGTCTCCGTAAAACTCATTGAGTTTTGAAATAAAAATCATTACGGAAATGCATATTTTATTAACTTTAATATGAATACGCAGATGCTTCTCTACATATTTTTTTAGGTATCATGGGATGACTCACTCAAAAAAGCGTCGGGAGTGTTTAAAATGAGTTCGTTTGAAAATATATCTCCGAAATTTAAAAATATTTATTAGTTTTTACCATAGTAAACTAGTACCAGATAGAATGGATAAAGTAATGCCCGACTTTGTGGCGCACTATCTTAGTATATATTAGGGTCTATAAATGAACCATATTTTCTTATCTTTTTCAATCTAAAAGCTCATTGTTCGGTTTTATTTTTAAGAGGGTCTAGGGCTTGTTAAAACACAAAGAAAGATAGTAACAAATCAGGAGGCGAAAAGTTAGATAGATTTGCAATAATACAAAATTTTATTATTAACAAATTAATCTGCTATATTAAGAAATGTAAGGATTCCATTTAACTAAAGTTCTTCATTCACTTAAATTATAAAAGTAGAGCAAAATTTTTATCATAGTTTTTTTAGATAGGTTAAATTGATTAACTTACAAATGCAAGGTACTCTAACTCATACAAATAACAATCATCTTCTACTTATAAAGATACAAAACACAACACATAGAACCAACTTGCCAATTAAAAAAGTTGTACACCCCACCAAGAAGTAATATTCCAAAAATCCTAACAAGGTAATTTTGGATTCAATTAAAGTGTACATGAATACCAATTGCAATAATTAAGATAGTAAGTATACAAAAATATATAATAGCATGAATGAGAATAGAAATTCCACTAGTACTCATGTTACCAAATTCCACCACCCTAAACCTTGCTGGAAATTGAAAGAGCAACCCTGGTGACAAGAAAATGAACAAAGCAACTGCAACAATCACTGGTCCCCAATCAGCTCCCATGTCTTAAGGTTCTAACTTGACGTAATTATTTTCTTGTGTTTCAAAATAATAGAACTAATGATAAGAGTAATATATATGTGTGGAAATTTGTCAATTATAGATGATGAGTTCCTTGGTCGTTAAGGAGGAAAAAGATATGCTAAACTTGGTGAGTAAAAAAGACAATGATTTACAAGACAAGAAAGGTATGTTAAATGGTGGTAGTGGCCAGTGGGATTGCTTTTTGTGTTAAATAATGGATCTGCTTTTTTTTATCTTCGTCTTTTGTATCTCACAAACTATTAATAATGATAGACAAATAAAAATTATTGTTTGATCAAAGTGGTTTTAATTTATATATGACACGAGACTCTATGGTAGGTTGCTTAATTTAGATGTTCAAAGTTAAAGAAGATATGTGAATAATGTGGATTTAGAAAAGAACCGAAAAACATGACCTAGTGACCTATTAGAGACAAAATTCAAGGAATGGATGGTCCAATAGTTCTAATAAGACACGAAACTTGTAAACTATGTGTAACTGTTTATTCAAAGTATTAATATTCTATTCATTTTAAGGCAAATATTGTCTAAATTTTTTGATATAGATTAAAAATTAGACAAGTATATTCATAGACATGATACTTTAATTAACTTAGTTATATTAATTATTGGTTTTTAAAGTGGGCATGCGTGAACCTTTCCGTCTAATTTTGACTAACGACGTTAATTTTTGATTGAATGACATCTGATGTGGCACCTGAACACTCGCGTGGCATTTGTTTATCATTAATGGTCATTAAAACTCTCAATTTTTTTTTGTCTTGAGACATGATTCGAACCTAAGGCATGTTGGTAGCTTCACATCATGCTTATCACTAGGCCATTTACATCTTGTTGATTTATTTTATAAATGATATACAACAATATTCAGATTACATAGTAAAGAGTAATGCAATTCATCAAAGCAAAGAACCAACGGTAAGAGTTATAGCGACACAAGCGGATCAACTAATGTTATTAATTCATCATCCTCAAAGAATATTAGTAACCGATACTAAAGCTAATCAAATAAATGGATGATATAATGAGCAGCGTATCCAAACAATGAAGATATTCCAAACCGATAACAACCTCTGCTGCATAGAATCTTGATACATATAAAGGATTGTCTCCATTATTGATACCGAAAAATTTAAGCAATCACACAGCCTAAGAAGCTTACAAAAAAAAAGGAAAAACCTAAAAATACCTTGTTGAATCTTCTTTTAGAATCTTCATGGGTTGCCTGTCGAGTAACGCGAACAACTCACCCCTAGGGCACAAGTCAGTAATCAAACATGCATGCGTGTCTGTCTATAAAAATGAATGGAATATCTGAACAGTTGGTAAACCGATAATACTTAATAGACACTACCATTATTAGTCTTTAAGACTTTCCTAAATCAATAACACTGCTAAGCCATTTTGCTGGAAAATTTTCAAGCATTTTATCTAGTTAAACCAAGATTGCTTTAAGTGAACATTGGAAGACAATATATATAAACTGTAGTAATAATAAAAGGATGATCTAGTAAGGAAGAAAAGGATGATCTAGTAAGGATATAATCTCTCTTTCAATGCATGCTCGATGAACCTGTCATAATAAGGTGTTTTTCAACATGCAAAATTCCTATTAAAAAGAAAACTAATCTAACTTTCTTAGAAATATTCAAACCTTATTATGATTCATCATTACTGACGTTTCCATTTCCTTCATTGCATATAGTTCGCCGGTACTTTGAAGTTCCACTAAATGGACACTGTAACACAAAAATAGATTGACACCATGAAAATAATGCGGAAAGGAAGCCATTATCCCCTTCTGTTTTCCAAGTTAACTAAAAGGTATTATTACCTGCCGGTATCTCTACAACTCAAAGGCCTTATGGCCCAGTGGTAAGCATGATGTGAAGCTACCAACACGTCTTGGGTTTGAATCATGTCTCAAAACAAATTTTTTTGAGAGTTTTGATGACTATTAATGATGAACAAATGCCACGCAAGTGTTCAGTGCCACCCAAGCAAAAATTGACGTTGTTAGTCAAAATTGGACGGAAAGGACTAATGTGGACATTTTTGAACAATTAAAGGATCACTTTGGAACTTTTTAAAGATAAGGGACGAGAATGGACCCCGATGTAAACTTAAGGGACCAAAAAGGATATTTTGCCTTAAATGATCTATTCAAAATAGTGTGGCTGTGCTGAAATAACTACGGGGATATATTAGGTATGTTGCTATAAGTCTGGTACAAGATAGTATTTGACTGGGGTATGATTGAAGGCACATTTATAACTGATGAAAGGACATAATAATTATGGATTTGGGACAATCAAGTTTGATTACCAATCACTATTAAAAGGTCATTACCAATGAGGGTCAATCACATTGGCCTCTAATGGACTTTCGTCTAACATGGGTCAGAACTACTATATAAGGAGAATAGAGCAAGAGAAACATCCATAGACAATTCACTATATGATTTGGCTATGGCTTTATTAATCTTCACTAGAGTTTTCTTTGGTTTACCTTTACGAGTACATTTAGCGCTAAATGTGGAGCCGATGTAACTAACATGGGCCTCAGGTACTTTTTACGTGATGATTTCATGAGGAGGTTCCAAAGAGAGAATCACATGGGAATACAATATTCCACATCCAAGCTCCATGCAATCAAGTGAAAGAAACAAGTATCAATGAAAGGAAAAACACCACAATCTTCAATTTGAGGAAACACCCCTGCCACGCGACTAACAAAGAAATTGAAATCATGACCTACCTCACCATGTTCTATGATCCATTATTTCTAGATCTAGTCGATAACCCAACATAACCATCGAAACTCCTCAAGAAGAGACTTACCCTAATAATTGGAAATCTAGATTGGCTAAATTCATCTAAACCTCCATATTGTCTTTATTAGTTCAGGTTCCAACATTTCTCACAAAAAACTTATCGACAATGGTGTCACCACTCCAGCCAATCTATCTCTATTTCTATATCCCTTGCATTCACTATCTTTTTCGTTGTCTTCATTGATGCTAACATCGTTTATGGATACGTCAATTGCGTCGTCTCCTTCTATTCTTTAATAGGTAGAAATATCACCTTTATAATTAAACGGAGCCTCTAAGGCTAAACACTATGTAACTTTTAACTTAGTATGAATCTTAGGATATCAGAGGTGTCCAACTGAACCTTAGTAGGACTTTGAAGTATCCTAGGGTACCCATTAGAACCTTAGTATGACTTTGAGGCCCTCAAAGGTACTAGTCATAACCTTATAAGGACTTTGAGACCCTTCAAGGTATCCTTCATAACCTTAGTAGGACTCTTAGTCTATATGAGGTATCCACCAAAACCTTAGCAAGACTCTGAAGACTTACGAGATATCCATCAGGACCTTAGTAGGACTCTAAGACCCTCTGAGGTATCCATCAAAACCTTAGCATGAGTTTACTTTCTAGGTATACATTAGTACCTTAATAGGTCTTTGAAGAGTTATCAAGTTCCCCTCAGAACTTTAGTAGACTTTGAGGCCTTTTGATGTATCCACCATGTTAATACCATTGTTTTAGGATTGACATAATTTTACTAAAACACGGTTTGCAGCATGATGTTATAGAAGTTATTCTAATATACTGGCCAGGTTCATTTGAAGGAAAATATTCTTACAGTTGTTGTAACATCATGTATCCGAACATCAGTACAAGCTGTATTTTTCTTGACAGATTTAACTTGATTATGTGAGATTCCTTTTGGTTTTATGTCATTGATTTTTTGCAGGTCAAGAATGTTCAATTTGGAACATTTAATTTATCTCGAACTATACACATGTTACAAAAATTGTGCTTTGAGACAATTTAGGAAACCTTGTGTTTTGTTCCAAGATTTAAGGAGGTCTTTCCGAACAAATTGGTGCAGCCCTCAGCGTTTGCAACAAGGAATATTTAGGCGAAATTCAAAGCCCATGGATTACTGAGGAGTATTTAAAGAAATTACCTAGACCTAAATTCGTTAAGAACTTGGTAAAAATAAGGGGAAGCCTACTTTTCTTAATCTTAGGGTTTGAGGGTTCTTCAAGAGAGTTTCTATTTTTGTATATCCTCGTGTATTTTTGATGCATTTGAGTTGACTGATTGTTACTTGTTTATCAAGTTATTGTTCTCATCTAAGCTTTTAAGCAAATATTTGAGTATTGTTCTTAGTGAAGCTTTTAAGAAAAGTAAGTATTGTTGTATTGAAAGAGTGTTCTTATTTTTGTTCTCTTGAGACATTCCCTGGGATTGAGATTGTTCGATATCACTGCGGTGATTGGGAGTGAGAGGGGTTCTCATATCTAGGAGGTTTCTAGGTAAAAGTTGCACTGGGTAGGGATTAAGTGATAAGTTGTAAACTGGGAATGTTTAGGCTTAGAATTAATACTACTGATAATGGATTTCCTTCCTGGCTTGGTATCCTAAGAGTAGGTGAGTTGCACTGAACTGGGTTAAAAATTGATTGTGTTATTTAAATTTTGCAATTTATTTTTCTGCACAATCAAGTATTTTTCTGTCAGTATGGGATGTTATAAGATCTGTCCTGACATCGCGTGTTGTGTTAAAACATCTGTTTTAACATTTGTTTTTAAAAGTACCAACATTTCACACCAGAACATTTGTATTAGACTTTGAAGCCTTTCAAGGTATTCCTCTAGACATTAATTGAACTATGGATCCCTAAGGGTTATTCAAAAGGACCCCTTGAGAACTACTAAACTTGTGAGCAAGACCATATACACAAAAAATTGAACTGAATTATGAATAAAGTTCCATTAAGAATCAAGGCTTAGTTCAATACTAAAAGCAAAAAAAAAAAGTAGAATATAGAAAAAATCAATTAATTAAAAATTTGAAGGATTACAAAAATTTATGGCATGCGAAGCGGGGTTACTTAAGTAAAATACAAATAGAAATAGAGAATAAATCCTAGGTGGGTGAG